ACGAGACATTGCTCTCGCAGAATGCCAATTGGCATTGAAGCATGGTGAGAAGATGATGAGGAGGAGCTCGAAGTACAGAGTTTGCCAATACGGCAAGCGCCTCCACTTCCATGACCGCTGCCCACATTTTGTGAGAGCAGCGGAGGTGCATTATTGCACCGTGTGCCTGAACGGAGAGGGGGTGTCAGATTCCGCAATCCCTCCAACCGTTCATGGCTGACACGCACAAATCGAATGTACCAACGTGTTTAGGCCCGAGTGTGAGAAAAGCTTCGCTTTGCTTCGCATATTTTAAAAACATTGATTAAGATATAATATATTTTAAATTATTAATTACGAAAGGTAACTTGAATTATATGAATTCTTTTTGCTTTAGCAAAATGGTATTGTAATTAGGAATTGGGATTATATATTGAATTTGGTCTTGTAAGAATTGATTTTATTTATCGGGGGGGAGAATTAAATTCCCTTGCGCCGGTTTATGTCGTTATGGATTTTTATTGGGATTATTTGTGATTGTTTGTTATGTTTCGTTTATTCTTTCGGTTCTTAAATATTAATTAAAAAATATTTTGATTTATATGGTAATAATTTTATTCGATTATTAAGGAATATAAATGATGAAATATTATCATTTAAAACATATATAGATATATTTGTATTATTATTTCGATTTGGAATATCGAAATTAAATATTTTAATTGAAAATAAAAAATCTATTGATATTAAATTACAATAAAAAAATATATTTTAGATTTTGTAAAGGATTAATCGATTAGGATAATATTTAAATTCTATATATAATTTATTGTATTTAGAATTTAATTTTAAGATAAATTTTGTTAGGATACGATAATTGTATTTTTTTAGCGATTCGATTTGAATTTTCGAGGATTGGAAGGCTTGGAATGTATATATATTACTATTTAAATTTGCCGGAAACGATATTATATTATTAATATTGACAAGGAATAGATATGCGAAGCTATAACGAGGCCCGACGAATTCGCAAATTATGAAAGGTATGATATTTGCAATAATATTAATATATTGTAGAATCATTTGGGGAGCAAGATTATTTTGAATATATTATATTCTATGCGGGCGAGGTTGTTTTTTTCCATGTCTTTCTATGCGATCGTTCGTTTTTGGGTCGTCATCTCCAAATATGGTATTGGTGCCATGCACCATCTGCGCAACACGATGCAGGTGAATTTGCAGGGCTGCAAGGGAATTGATTTCTTGCAGATTAATTTATAGTAATTGAAATCTAAAACGATATATTTAAAGATAATTTTTGAGATTCTTTTATAGGATATATAGATGGAAATCTTAAGATGAGCCAGAAGTAAAAAAGGTGGATTGATGCAAAATAAATTGTGGAATCTTTCGTTTAGAATTCTACGCACCGCCGTAATTATTTCTAATATGTTCTATTTTTGTCTTTGTGTTATATATTATTTAATTAGGGAATGATCCTCCTGACGATATCCAAAACGACATTAGAACGATCTCCTTAATTACGTACATCATGTATTTGTTGCTGCTCCTCTTGTTCCTGTTGTTGTTTCTGCTCCTCCTGCTGCTTCTGCTCCTTCTGTTGTTCCTACTCCTCCTGCTCCTCCTGTTGCTATTGCTATTGCTACTAGTTCTACTAGTGTTGCTACTGGTGTTGCTCCTGCTGTTACTGCTCCTTCTCCTGTTGCTATTGCTGTTGCTCACTTTCGATGGACAATATTTAGGCAGATTTCTCGGAAAAAAACGATCTCTATACGACGTCCGCATTTGAATCAAAATAACCACTATTACTAACTACTTCTACTTCTACTACCACTACTACTACTATTCCTACTACTATTCCTAGTACTATTACTACTACTCCTGCTGCTGCTCCTGCTGCTGCCGCTACTATTACAACGAGTATTACTACTACTACTATTGCTACTACCATGGTTGCCGCCATCACCACATATGAAAACCGCCGCTTGTAAATCATACAATTTGCTGTTGGGATCATGATTTTCATACCATATTTTTTCTACCTTAGATAATATTATTCGAATTTGATTGATAAAGGTTTAAAAAGAAATTCCACAAAAGAAGGAAAAGAACAAAATACAATACGATAATAGGAAAAGGAAAGTACAAGGCTGAGATAAGCGAGCAGGGCTGGAGGGGTGTTGATTATTGTAGGATTTTAAATTTGCAAGGGTTTGGAATATAAAGAAAAAATCAATTTTTGTTATAACACTAAATATTTTAATTGTCATTTGCTAGGATTTTCATTAAGAATCCGAATTTTTTAGATTATGTATTTTTTAGAATCTAATGGACAAATATAAAAATATATATCCAATTAAAGAAGAAAGATGAAGAAGAAGAAGAAGGAGGGAGAGGGTCTTGAATATACATCCAAATAGGAAAAATGCATATGGGAGGATTTGGGTTCAAGACCTCTGGCATCTGAATTTATATTCTTATCATTAAACTATTTTGGCACGTGGCAGGAAGGACCAAATATAATATATAAATATCAAAGGTTCGATTCTTACAAATTGAATGGGGGAGGTTGCTCTAAACCAAAAAATATTCCAAAATGAAAAATATAGAATATGGCTGGATTGATTATTTATTTCCTGATTGGCAACGGCATGCATCCAAGACAAGAGGACACAAAGGAATCAGTAGGGCCAATGGGCACATTGCTTATATCTTCTGGTAAAAGGAACCATTTTTGGAAGTCTCGATATTTAGGCATTATACAATGCTATTTCTTTGCTCAGATTTACCCGCAAAGCTTGTGACATCTTCATTCAATCATAAGAGGACACGGAGGAATCAACAAGACTTGTTCTGTTGCTTGGAGAAGTATCGATGCTGATACAGGTTATCATTATTTTTTATTTAAAATTTTCCGCAAGGCTTGTGGCATCCCTTATGTTCAGGCAAAATACAAAATTACCTATTTGCACAGAATTATTTGCAAAGCTTATGACATCCTCATTCAATCACAAGAAGATATCGAGGAATCAACAAAATCTGTTCTGTTGTGAAGCCATTAGGGAGGAACAATGCACGTTGCTTATGTCTCCTGGCAATAGAAAATATATTTAGAAGTGCCTCGGTGCTCAGACTATAATTATGTTTCTTTCTTCTGCTTTGAATAAAGACACCACCAAATGTTATCCAACGCTTGTGGCATCCTCATTCAATCACAAAAGGATATAGGGGAGGGACCAAGACCTATTCACCAAAGATGATAGAAATATAACAAATCATAAGGCCAGGATGCGCCAACAGGACTGGACGGGGGATGATTATTATAGGTTATTGCAAAATTAAAGAATGGGATAGCAATCTAAAAGGATATCTTTTGAATATATTTTTCGCATTAATTTTCTAGGGGTTGTATTATCAATCCAAATCTTTTGGGTAATTAGATTCTTTTTTGAAATCTGACGGTCAAAGAGATAAACAGAAATATATAATAAAAGAGAAAAGGGTCAAGAACAAGGTAAGATAATATAATTTTAAAAAGGAAAAGGAAAATGCAAAAGAATTAACAAAATAGAAAAATTGGAGGGGGTTAATTATTATAGGTTGGTTTATAATCAAAGGGAATTGAATTTAAAGGGATAATCATCGAATATATTTAAGATATGTATTATATAGGATTTGCATAAAGAAAAATAAAATATTTGGATAAATACATATTTTTGCAAAGATGATGATCAAAGATAAAGAATAAGAAATTCATGACCATATAAATTAATAATAAAAAGACAAAGATAGGATAAATTTTAAAAATATGATATCTATCCTCAATTCTGAAAAAAGAAACAAGATTTTGAAGCATTTCCAATTATTGTTTCTGCTGTCAGAAAATTCAAGAAATATGATCATTATTTTGTCTTCACAATAGAGCAGGTCTTGTTGATTTATCTGCGGTGTATTTCTTGTGATTGAATGAGGACGTCATAAATTTTGTGTATATTTTTGCAAATTTCTTTTCTCATTTCTGAATAAGGAAATATATTATATCCAACCTGAATATCGAAAGAAAAAATAATATGATAATCATTGTTCCTCCTCAATGGTTTCTCAATAGAATAGGTCCTATTTTAGAATCTCTTATAAAGAGAAATTATTCAAAGGTTTAGTTTGTGTTGGTTGATATTTTCTATTTTGGCGGTTAAATTAAATATTTTCAATTCCCAACCATATTAATTTCATATCTAAACATGTATAAAATCAATCGGCATCTCGACATTACTATCGTATTAAAAAGAAATTATTAAATATTTAAATCGCATGGTCATATATTAATATATTCTTTATTATAGCATAAAAATTATAAATTTCAAATGATATTTCTTTCCATACGGATTTTAATGCCGTAGGCATATTAAAGAAATATAAAGATTATTTTCTTGGTTTATATATATTTTTTTAAATTTTATTATTATATTAATTTTTGCCCTATTACGATATGTTTTTTTTTTGCCCTTAACGAACTACTTCTAATATTTTATTTATAGTTATACATATACGAGGAATTAACGAAAATAATAATATTCGATATCATTTACAATAATTAATATATTCATAAAACAATATTAATGCTAAAATTATATTACATATAAAAATATTTTATTACAACATATTATTAGTAGGAAAAAAATATATAATAATTCTATAATATATATTATATATATATACGTAATTATACAAATAATTTCTTTATAGAAAGATAATTTGTTTAAAGACAAATTATAAATAATTATATAATATATATATATTATATGTTGATTTAATCTTTGAAAAATTAATAGATTTTGTAATTTATAATTTTATTAAATAAAATTCACTTATTTGTATTTCGATTATATCTATATTTTTTGAATCGAATATATATATTTGTTTTTTGTATTGCATATTTACGATTATATTATATTTTATCCCATCAGCATCGATATATCCTCGATTCGGGATAATTTCTTTCATTTCGTAGAATTCCAACGTCCTAAATGAGATCTTGAAAATTCCATGCAGAAAAACGTTCTCAAATTGTTCGTCCTGAGTTCAGCAAGCGACAATATCACAAGAGAACGATGTGAATGCAAGATATGTAATAGTGGGTAATCAAGACTTATTGAACCATTATGACACTCTCAACAATCAATGATATAAATAGCAATTGTACTTAACTACTTTCACATGAGCAAATTTATATCAAAGCAAAAACTGCTAAACACAGGAACCATGCTCCATCGTTCACCTGCTAGTAAGAATTCAAACAATGTCTCAGCAGTTCGATTGGCCACTGCAATCCACTGGTCAGAGGTCATGCCATGATTGCGCATGATCCTCCCATGAGCATACCTCCTGAGGACAGGCTTGCGTCAAACCCAATGAGAGAAAGTTGGCAAACAAAAGAACACAAATAAACTCACGTTTCAGAAATTGGCCATTGACTTGACAAATGATGGTTTACTTACAAACAATCATTTGCCCTGGTCAAGTGTTTGTCAAAGAGCCAGCTGTTTTTCATAGTCACTGGTCATGCACTCAAAGAGTCAGCTGTTCCTTCAATAGATTTTATCTTCTGATTTGGTGACAAGAGTCCAATCCATCTCTACAGACAAGAACTGCTTCGCGAACCAACAGTCCGAACTGACATCCCAAGAGAGCTTTTCCATGATGATGAGGACCTGGACGCCAGCAGCCTGAGAGTCCATGGACCAGTAACCAACTTTGTAAACCAATGTTGAAACACAGTTACTAAGATAGTATAGTTATATAAGAGTATCCATATGTGACTAATAGTGACTCTATATAACATTGTTATACTCACATCAAAGCAACTCAATCATTCAACTTGTGGGCGGCCAGCCAAGTTACATGCAAGATTGCCCAAAGCACTGCAGTGACTACTCCTGTGCGATGCCATCCTTGAAGGCAGGAGATCCTTAGTCAACAACAAGAGTCATCAATATGTTTCACACTTTCTTCTACCACAAAGATATGGCTACTATCGTGGTTGAACCTCACAGAAACACCAAACCAAAGAACATGCAAACAAGACTCCTGATCACTGAGGCTGGCTTGGACAGGATCATGTTGAGCACTGCAATGAAGTTAGGATGGCACATCACCTAGAAGTGCAGCAACCATTGGATTGGTGGACTATCGACCACACTCAGACTACACAACAAGCACATGAAGCACAAGAAATGAGTTGAATCAAACACATCACAAACAAGATCATGTAAGGCCAGCGTTGATCGCTGGGTGCTTTGAACCCATCCAGAGTCTCTTGGATTGTAGGGGCCCTTCTTGCCGTTGCCCTTGCCCTTGCCTGTGCCCTTGGTGCTCCTGAGATTGATTGACAAACAGCTGACAAATCTTGACAACAATTGCCAAAGAAGTTTCACAGCTGACTACAGACTGGGAATGAAACATGTAACATTACTGCTAAGACTCAAATGCACAAGCATCTCATGATACACAGTGGTCATTGAAGGCCACATCTCGTGGTGATCTACCTGAGATTGCTCCGGGTGACCAATGATGGCCACTCTGAGTAGCCATCCTCTCCATCTCCCAGATTGGAGCGGAACCCAGCATTCTCTACCTGGGCATTGTCAGGAGACACAGAACATTCCTTTGTTCATGATTTGAGTGATTGTTGATGCTATGGCCATGTGACTGAAGCAAACCTAAGTTTAGTTATATAATTATGGACATCAGCGCCAAGTCAAAAACACTTGCAAATAAATTTGGCCCAGACACTGCCTGTCTCGCCGCCTCCACGACGTTTGCTGTAATCTGTGTCATGGTGGAAGCCAAGAGCCAAGTTATGCCTGGGATGCGATGGTGGGTGACTGACAGCCAACACTTTGCTGAGAAAGGTCAGCCAGCTAGATTGTCTCAGATTTACTCCATCGATTCAGTGACTAAAGCCAAGACTTCAAGAGTAATGCTTTGCAAGCTGCTTCTCCACCTCTCGCTTGGTGCTCTTGAGCACCCAGCCACTCAAATTCCTGAATCCACCTCGTTGGTTTCTTTGATGCACGTAGTCCCTTAGATGAAAACCAAACTCAGACCCTTCAAACATTCCATGGACATAGCTGACCACATCTGTATCACCTCACGTGACCTCAATGACCAACAGCTGACTCACCCTGACTAACAGAGGATACTCTCAAGTCAAACAAAGGCAATGCAAGAATCCAGATTTCCTTGGCCTTCTTTTTGTCCAAGATCCAAAGAAGATATAATGCCTCAGACTCACTTCGATCCACTTCAATATAATAATTGGGTGTTATGAAAAAAGAAAACCTGCGTATCCAATGCAAACGCCCAGCCAAACATTCAGACTTTTCTAACTCAATACAAGCAGCCTGTTGAGATTTCCTTAGAACCATCAATGGAAACACACGATCACATGATTCAAGTCAATCGTATATACAATTACAAGAAACACTTTTCATAGACTTAGTAACCTCTAGCTAATGCTACACTCAATCCAGGTTTTGACATGGCCTGATGGACTGCCATTCAGTGACTCAATGACCTCACCTCTAAGCCAAGTCAAGTCTCCTGTCGATCTGGTCCAGGCCCTCCCAACCAAGCACCGCAACAGCCCACGGAGTACCAGCGGCAGAAGTGTGGGCCATGCAGCAGAGACTACTGATGGAATGAATGAAGGTCTTGATCGTTATTGACTGATAGACTCAAGTGACTAACTGACTGAGTACCCAGTTTTGAAAACATCTGACTTCAGTGACTAGTCAGATGACTAGCAAGTGACTAGTCTTACATGTTCAGACTGTCAGTCATTGTCTTGAACACATGAGTCGCTGCGGGTCATCAGTTGTGGAAAGTTCAAGTCAAAAATCTAACAACAAGTGACAACATCTGACTGAACCCAATGAAGCACACAAAGGCATGCCAAATCCCCCTGCCCCTCCCTAACACATGCCAATTCCACCTGCTCCTCATTGAAGGCCAGTAGAATTCAGCAGAGGATGCCTAGATCAATGGATTGCAGCTAACACATATTTTAACACACTCACAAAAAGAATCAAACAAACGTCAAACAGTGTTCCCAAGGCCCCAGGCGTGAGATAGCCACAGGAGTCCAGCCACAAATACACCAGCAAGGTAAGGAGACAGAGGGGAAACAACTGACAACAAAGGTGAGTAGTGAAAACACCTGACATCATTTAACACCATATATCACGAATCACTGACACTAAGCAGTGGGTCAGATTGCAAGTGGTATATTATTCAATAATTGTTAAACAATTTCGTTGAATGCATCACTTTGAACTTGGCCCTGGCACCCCAGAAAACTCCAATCAAACAGGGCTGCTCTTCCCCTCACATCAAAAATAATTGTGTAATGTTCATGTATTTTCTGTGTCTTGTTTTTCTTGTTTATTTCATTTTTTATTTTTACTTTATTTTTTTATTTTAATTTCATTTTTTTATATTTATTTCATTTTTTATTTTTATTTCATTTTATTTATATTTATTTTTTATATATATATTTTTATGTTTATTTACTTTTTCATTGAAAAAAACCATTGCTACATCAAACCACTTGCAATCTGACCCACTGCTTAGTCTCAGTGATACACTATGACAGGGGGCGCCAAGGGCGGCTGACCCGGTTCAGCGGCTTGCGGAGCGGCTGGTGTGGTCCGCGCGGTTGGTTCCTCGACCCTCTCCGCCTGGACTGTTTGCATGGAGTGCTTTTGGAACCGGTACAGTTCCTGCATAGCCCTTTGTTCGGATTGCACTGTGAGGTCGGCCTCAGCGAGACCGGCATGGTCAGTGTCCTCGCCGAGGGCAATCTCCATCGGGCTATTTTGCGTTGCTGCATTTGCCCCTTGGGTATCCTCATCAGGAGAGCGAGGATCTTCTTTAATACCCGTGGGTACGGGGGTTCCTGCCAGGCTGACCAGGCCAGTGTGCCCGCAGGGCATGCTTTGACGGCCGGCGCTCCTTGCACGGTGTTCTGGTGTGCTTTCTATGCTCTCTGCAATGCTCTGGAGCACTGCAAGTGGCTTGGCAGCCTTGGATTTGACTGCGCTGTGTTTGGCGGCAGCAGCCTTCACGGTCCCTCTCCATGCCTCTGCTGGGACCTCTGGCCCTTCCAGTTCCAGCTGCCGTTGATGCGCAGAGCTGTCATTTGCTTCCGTGGGTTCTGCTCCCGCCGGGGGGGCTGAGGTGCGGGCCAGTGAAGCTTGCTGCCACCGCCTTCTAATGCCTTTGAGGACTTGTTCTCCCGGTGGAACTGTCACTTCTTGCTCATTTGGAGGACAACTGCTTGGGCAGTCGCCTTCCGCCAGACTGCTACGGTCCTGGGGGCTATTACGATGCCTTGGCAGTTCGCCAGGGTTGGCTGGAGTAGTGGAAGGCCCCTTCCTATCACCTGTTCCTTCAGTAGGGGATGTGTCTTGTTGCTCATTGGCTTGATAGTGGGTGGAGGCCGCGGACCGAGGAGACTCTGCCGACTGGGAGTGGGCATCTCCCTCCGTTACATGGTGCCCACTAGGAGTCAGGGAGGATGAGTCATTAACTTCCCAGACGCTTTCGTCGTCGTGTTCCTCCTCCTGCTCGACTATACTGGGTCTTCAGTTGCCACTTCCTCTTCCTTATCTTCTGCGCCAGCGTCTACCTGCATATGTGAGTCGAGGCTGCTGACTTCATGCACAGGTGTCTCATCGCCACCGGTAGGAGAGGTGACTGTAGCTACTGACAGCGCTGTAGGCTCTGAAGCCTGGGTGGGGGAGCTTTCAGCTTCTTCCCTACTGCTGACCGAGACTGGACGGCCGGGACGGTTTTGCTCGCTGTTGATGCTGTCTGGCGATGGCAGGAGGCTCGAAAGTGCACTAGTACTGTGATCGACTAGGCCTTCCGAGACCGGGCTGCCTGCGGGCGTGTCATTGGCAGGAGACTGTGCGCCCGCCAAGTGTGTGTTCCTCGAGGTACCCGCTTCAGGGCGCCAGTAGCAGCCATGTTGGAGCATCCCTGGTGTCGGGGGCAGTAGCAAGGAGGAGTCTTCCCTATCGAGCTCCGGTTCACTCCGCCATGCATCGTAGAAGTAAATTTTATGCAATGCCTCAAAGTGATAGAGTCTCGCTTTGTTGGCTGCATCACTTTTGCCCGGTGGATAGCGGACTGTGCTGCCTGCCTACCGTGAATCTCGAGCCACCTGCGTTGCTGACTGTATGTAGTAGTCGCCAGGCTCCGGGATGACTTGTGTCGGGGACGACTAGCCAGTCAGGATTTGAGAGCCCATCTGCTGCATACCCAAACAGCAGTCCACTGCCATGGAGAGGATGGGTTTGACTCAGGAGCTGGTTTTGTTCGCCTTGTGAGAGACGACTTTGCGCCGTGAGGACTAGTCTGAGGTCTGAGGCGCCTCACCTTTCCATTGTAGTGCTCCGCAAGGCACAGGGGGGTGGGTCCCTCCCATAAGGGGTGCGGCTCCGTGGCCCTGAGAAAGGCGGTGGTCTCAGCCTGGACATCTGGTTCGCCGATTTCAAAGGTCCCCGCAACCCGGGCTACGCTAGTGTGTAAGGTGCAAGCACCATGGAGAAGCGCGGCAATAACTTGTGTGGCGCCCTCAAGGCCATGCATGTTGAGCGGGCACACTAGTACAGTGAGGTCCGTGGCTCTACTAAGGGCGACATTGGTCGTGGTGTAACATTCTTTGTCGAAGTCTGACCTGTTGGAGTGGCCGCTGAGAAAGCTGGATTGGCCATGCAGGACAATGCAGTGCTTTGCAGTGGCTCCTGCAACTTTGACCGCTGTTTCAACATTGGTGTTGCGGCGGGACTGGTGGCAGGAGCTGCGAAGGCTGTGGGCACTTTCCTTCCTGGTTGTCAGGACAAGGATGTTGTCTTGTTCTTCTTCTTTGACTGGTAGCCAGGACTCTATTTGCAGATAAACTGCTCTTGTGGATTCTGGCGGGGGGTCAGCCCGGGCAGCCTCGCGAGGGTCGTGGTGGATCCATTGCACGACCTCAGCCCAGTGGGCTTGGCCTCGCTTTCCCGGATGGAGCCTGTTCCTATCTGCCACCGCCCATTCTTATGGCTACAAAGCATTGGGTACTGAATTCCTATCAGGGGTTCATAGACTTCCTGCGCAACCCGTGCGCTGGTCGGAAGCATCACGCTCCACTGATGGATGCCAGACACTCCTGATCTATCCGAGGCTATGCTGGCCTGATGGAATTGGTAACAATGCCCTGGCCGCGTAATGGCATACCCAAGGCCAGCCAGGAGGCCTTCTGGCGCACTTTTCCGAGGTCCTTGTGGGCTGCTTGCAAGGCAGCTCCGACCGGAGTGAGGCAGGGGCAGTGCTCATCTGTGTTCCATTGGCGTCCAAGCCGGCCATGACTTGCTTCTTCTGCAGCTTCTGTCAGCTTGTTGAGGGGAACCTCAGCACTGCTATGTAGGAGGCTGCATATAACCGCTGGTAGTTCATGTGGCATAAACCAGCGATGCGCCGCCAGAAGGCCAATGGGAGCTTTGAGGAGCAAAGCTCTATGTTCCCTCAGATTGTCGGCAACACCTCCGGGACTTTGTTTGGGGTCGCCAAAGAGGAGTCGAAGGAACGGCTGGCGCGGGATAGCCGGGACAAAGGCGGACTTGAGGTCCATGTCCTGTTGTGCTTCTTCTCCTACCAGGATGTCAACTTGTTCCATGTGTACTCTCAGCGACGAATGCATGTGTGCCTTTTGTTCCCACACCAAGCCAGTGGTTGCAATGACAACTTTGGCTTTAGGGATAGCTCCCGAGCAGTACTGCATGGCCAGGTCATACCTGGTGCTGGCTGCATTGGCCGCGTTTTCCTCTCGCCCTACTGCCCTTACAAAGAGTTTGGCTTGTTCATCGTCTAATGCTAGCGAAGCTAGGAGCTTGGTGATGGCACGCCCGGCAGGGTTTTCCTTATGGACCACTCCGATCTTGAGGTTGGTTGTCAAAGCCAGCCAAACCAGAAGGTAAGGGAGCGTGTCTTCCCCGCGCCAAAGACCCCTGCAACGGCCAACGTAGATCGCCCTGTTTGAAGGGCAGCTGCCAAGGAGAGTGCCACGGACATGATGTGGGCACTGTCAGTGCGGGCTGCCATGCACAGCTTCATGCCTACAACAGTGGCAGACGGACAATACCTTGGGGCATCACCCGTTATCAGCAGTGCAAACAACGAGAACAGGCTTTGCTGGAGGGCCTCAGCACCATCGAAATGATAGGAAACTGGACACGAGTAGGGAATCCCCAGTGCAGTGGTTTTATGTTCAAGCGGCATAGTTGCCATTTGAGGTGGTCTGCTGAGGCCGTGGTGCCTACTTCGGCCAGGCTGAGGATGCGCAGCGGTGTGGTAAAGGGGGTAAGTGTCCGCATACAATAGAGGAGACCCCACTTGGCGTCAATGTTCATGCCAAGCTCACTACGAGATGGCAGTGGGGCAAAGGCCTCTGGGACTGGGATCACGGCTATGACCCATGCCTTCGGGCTGCTATGCCTAGCCGTTGACTCTTCAAGGGTTTCTACCCCTCCTTGTTTAGACTTCTTTTTGGGTTGTGCTACATACTCTAAAAGGACCCCGAGCGGGGTAAACGCCTCTGCTTCTTCTTGCACCACAATGCGATAGACTTTACCAA